TAGCTTCTCCCTTCCGCCCTACCCCCCCCACCCCCCGGCTCTCTATTCTTTATTTTTAAAGGAAAAGAGGCAAATGGGCATTTGAGGAATACATGGAGAGAAAAAAAAATATTACCTTCCTAAAAAAGGTTACAGAAGAAATGCAAGGGATTTGCACAATTTCAAGCTACAATTAGGAGTAGACCAAAATATATTCAAACTAGTAGAGGAAAAAGCTGTAGCTTGTTGAGCTTCTGACAGCTGAGGACTGAGCTGCTGACTGAGGATGACCACAAGGCCCCTGAAAGGACAGATTTATAACTTAAGGACATAGCAAGAGCAGAGTACCTCTTCTAGTGCAGGGCTGTAGGTGGTTTCAGCATAGCTGTTGTTCACCCAGGTGATTGCAGCAACATGTATATTAACACTCATGAAACAAACTGGGAAAAAAGTGTCATATCTGTCAATTTAAAATACAATACAGAAATGCCAAATCATAGTTCTTACTCAGAAGTTAACTGCCAGACATATGACAGGTGGTAGACACTCATTAAAAACATGTAAGTTAAGAAAGAGGAAGAAAGATGTGGCATCACTGATACAGGCATCATACTGCTTGTCTGGCAGGTTTAATTGTAAGAATAGTCAATATTTACAGAATCACACACTGCTTTGCTTGGAAGAGACCTCTTGAGGTCATCTAGTCCAACATCCCTGCTCAAGCAGAGTCAGCCATAGCACATTGCCTACAACCATACTCAGATAGACTGTGGGGAGACTCTACAAACTCTTTGGGCAACTAGTTTGTTTTTGGCCACCCTCACACTATAAAAAGTGGGGTTTTGTGTTCATGTTGAACTTCCTTGGTTTTAATTTGTGCCCATTGCTTCTTGTCCTTCTGGTGGGCACTGACAAGAAGAGTCTTGCTTCCTCTTCCTCATTCCTTTCCATATTTATACCCATTGATAACAATTCCTCCCCCAAACCTTCTCTTCTCTAGGCTGAACAGTCCCAGCTCACTCAGCCTCTCTTCATATGGAAGATGCTTCAGTCCCTCAATCATCTTTGTGGTCCTTCACTTGATTAGCTCCATTAAGTCCATATCTGTCTTGTACTGAGGAGGCCAGAACTGGACAAGCACTCCAGGTATGGGCTCTGCCAAGGGGAAGGATCACTTCCCTTGACCTGCTGACAATGCCCTTCTACATGCATCCCAAGATGCCACCACCCTTCTTAGTTGTGAGGACACATTCTTGGCTTGCAACCACCTACTTGTGCACCAGGACCACAAGGTTCTTCAGGCAAATCTGCTTTCCAGCCAGCTGCGACACTTCCCCCTCCCCCCTGGCATGTACTGCATTTTCATCCTGAAGAAGAATGTGAACATTTGAAATTATTACTACTGGAGGAGGAAAATGAGTGTTTGTGTCACAGTAGCAGTGAGATCACAGCACTGACAGAGGCATCTGTTGTCTTTAATCAGGTAATACCTGTTGAATGCTCACGTTTGGTATCTGCTTTGCCTTTTTTCCACTACTTACCTCTACTTTTCTAGTATTTGTCATATAATAATTCTGCAAGTACAACAGAGAACAGCCTTGTACATGGTTAAATGCCTTACTCATGCTGCTACCGTTTGTCACAGGCCTAATAATGAACCAAGGTAAGAATTATCTCTTAGCAACTGCAGCCAAATTATCTGAACTGGAGATGTGAGCTCACCACAGCAGAGGTACTCATAGGCACTAGGAGAAATGTTTGAATACTTCAGGTAGTGTATAGCAACTGTTTTTTGCTATGTGACCCAACCTTTACAGACTTTTGAAGTCCAGTAAGCCATGCATCCCAAATGAACCATTTTAAAGGATTTGTTCAAATCAGAGTCTGAAAGCCTGAGGTGAAAACTGCCTTAGCTTTCTGAGGAAAGTCGGTGACATCACCTTTCTGCTCATCTGTAATGACTGAGATCAAGAAAAAAAAACACAGCAGCAGCCTGATTCTTACACAATCCACCCATGCTCTATTTAATTTTTGTAGACCATGCCCAGCTGCTGAAGCAATGGCAGGAAAGAGTCCCCTCTTGTGGTTGGAGCGACCCGCTGCAAACCGCGTCTGGCGCATTCCAAGCCCGGTTGCAGCAGGAAGAGCCACGTACCGCAACGGGGTAAGAATTTTGCAGCAAACACGGGGACGTCCATCTCAGTCATTAGAGCAAAGCCATGCATTCAAAAAGTGCTGATAAAAACCTGTTTCTCACTCGTCATAGGACTGAAAAGGTTGCTTAAATTTAAGTATTTTTTCATTTTAAATTACGAGTGCATTTTTATCTGTCCCATCTATGCCCCCATCTAAAAGCAATTGACTTTAATGAACATAACTGCATAATGAACTGCACAGAAAGCAAATTTAATTATAAGTAAGTTTTAAATATCTGTAGAATTACCCACAGTGCAATACATAAAATTATCACAGCCTTTTAAATGAGATGGCTTGGATCTGGGGGAGGTGCCAGAGAAGAAGCATCTCTACAGCATTTCTCTAAAAAGCTGGAATAGACCCTCTTGTTTCTAACTCTTCAGGCTTATAGAATAATGCAGCCTAATAAACAGAGAATTATAAAATTAGAGAATAATAACTTTTTTTTACAGGGATATCTATGTAAACTTGTTTTACAGTCTGTAATATTTTAAGTTATTTCAAAAATGGTTACTAGATAGCAAAAAAGTAATACATTATATAAAAAGACTACTGTGGCTAAAAACTTGTCCCACTACAGATACTAAATGAAATCACTATTAAGAATAACAATAAAAATAGAAAATAAGAGGGAAAAGAAGTAATTAAAAGCCTACTGACACATTTCTGTTAGAAGAAATAAATTACAGCTAGACAAACAAACTGTGTGGCTGAAAAGTGACTTAGGAAGACATGGTTTAACACACCAATGCAAAAGGCATCATAGCTGTGGTATGGGTCCACCACTAGCTGAATTTAATAAATTTTGTAAGTTATGAATATAGTGCAAAAAAGACATAAAAACTCAATGAATATGTTTGCTGTGAATTTACAAAGAAGCTGGCTGAAGTTGCTTCTCACGACGTAGCGCTTTCTAGACTATTAGGAGGTAGAAAAGATGGTAGAAAACATCTATTATGACTAAGTGGTTTTAGGCCAACTGTCACAGGTAACTTGCAAGCAACATCTCAAAACAGTTTGCTAATTCATATGCTGATAGGATACATTCTAGAGTAAAAGAGAGGAAAAAGTGTTTGAACAAACATGTAGGGGAAAAAAACCAAGCCCTTCAAGAAATGTTGTTATTAACTGGGAAATTCTAACCTGTCAGATTAGCTGATGCTACTGCTACAGCAGTATTCATGTAACTATAGTATCAATAATTTCTTGTTTACATGCAGAACAGATGTGCTGCTGGAAAAAAAATAAGTCTATGAATCAAAAATAGAACACTAGTATTATAGAATTAAAAAAAAAAAAATGAAAGAAAAAGGAAGGGGATAAATGTACTATTGTAGATTATTGTTTTGCAGTGTTATGTAAACTTGAAGCAAGGACTGGTATTCTCCATTACTTGAGATGGGTGGTTATTCATGGAGCTTAACACCCCATTCTCTCTTCCCTTTCCCTCACCTCATAGCATTCTTTACTCTGAGTCCTTGGAATCGCATTCCTGTCACTGAAAGGCATTGAGAGAAAAGTCCATTTGATGACAATAGACTTTCAGGGAGATCCACAGTATTACATGTGTTCATTCATCAGACAATCACAACCAAAATCATTAAACTTTTGAATAAAATTGTGACTGATCCAATGGCAAAGTCCTACACTTCTGTGCTTTCACTAGGAGCATTAAGTGAATTGTTACAAATTTATTAAAATTCTGCAGTCTTTGAAAGACTTTTTTTTTTTAAATACTGAGTTATAGTAGCAAATTCCATGCATATGCAAATTATGCTACCTCGAAAACAAAACACAGATATAATCTTATTCTATTAGAGGCTCCACTTCCTACAAAGGCTTTAATTCTCTGCTTCCAGTCCAATCACATCAGTCAGTCTAACAAATCGCTGGCTGGAGGAATAAACAGATCTTGGTTTTCAGTAGTAAAAATCTTAACTGCTGTGGTTCTGACAGGCCTAATGTTGTGTTCAGAAAAAATAAATAGAACACATGGTTTCAGAAAACTAGCATGTATTGTCTGCCCCAGTGTGGAAATGACCACAGGCAATTTCCTAGCTCAGTGTCCAAGCTGTAAGTCATCTGTGTATATTGCTGCCTCTCCAGTACTTTACTGAAGCCAGGAAGCCTCACTGGAATAGTGGAGCATGTGTTGCTAAGCAGTTTTTATTACTATAATCTATGTGCAGCTCAAGCTAGGTACACTGCTCTGACTGCAGTTCTGAAACAGGTCTCTTGCTTTCTATTATATTAATTGTTAAATTAGAATTATGTTGATAAAAATTAAGATAACTGAAAAAGAAAGCAATAGATTTTTTGTCTCTTCAGATTTTGAAAAAAGCAAACCAACCAAAAATCAAACAACACCCCCCAAAAAAATTACAACAACCAAACATAAACAAAACAAACAATCAAAAAAACCCACAAGCACAAACTTCTCTGAATTATGTACTTCAATTCAAAAGGACTGTCAGGTGTGACACGTGCAGGGTGCATGAACTAAATGATCTGGGAATCAGGCGTTCCTTGAAATAAAGTTAATTCTGATCTTGAAAGAGAAGGGAAAAAATAAAAGTGGGGAAAGGAGGATGCAGTGGGTTCTGCAACGTCAGTAAGACGCTTGGGAGTCAAATCAAACTACAGTGTTTGCAGAAGTCAGGTTCTGCTGCTCTGCCCTTCCTAACATGGCTCCAGACTAGCTGTAATCATGACGTGATTTCTCAAGACCTGCAGCTGATATTTGAATTTGTTAAAAAAGAAAAAATACTGAATCATATTTTCAAAAATACAGCTTTGCCTTTGTACTGTGACATTTGAAAGGCAGTATGTTTTCTGTCCATGAAGGGCAGGTGCTGAGGCACGGACGCCGCTTGGCTGCCGCTGCGCGATCCCCAGGTAAGCGGGACCTTCCTGCGCTTTCCCGCGAGGCGCGCGGGGCCCCGGCCCGAAACCGACGGCAGGGAGGAAATCATCAGTGCGGGAGGTGCGGCGCGGCTGCCGGCAAGACACGGCCCTAAATGCACCAACTCGGTTACAACAGTACACGTTACAGAGGTTTCAATCTTT